CTCGCATTTGTTTCTCGGCGCAGCGCGGTTGGGATTTTCCGTTCTGGTCAGCGCTGCCCGTCAAGGAATAGGCAGGTCTGAGCTGCATGCAAACCGGCTTGAGAAGTTCTCTCTCTCTCTCTCTCTCTCTCTCTCTCTTCCCCGCCCGCCCCCCCTTCCCTATCTCTGTGCCCGCGGTGCTGTGTCTGAAGATGTGGACAGTTCCATGCACACACGGCCCAAAAAGGAAATAGGTGAGTTCGCGCGACGTGTCGAAGTGCACCCTCTCGCTCTCTTCCTTCCTCCCTCCCTCTCAGCGGTGCTGTGCGTGAAGAGGTGCAGAGTTCCGTTCGCATTCAGCCCAAAAACGAAATAGGTGGGTTCGGCCGGCGTGGCGAAGTGCACCCTCTCTCTCTCTCTCTCTCTCTCTCTCTCTCTCTCTCTCTCTCTCTCTCTCTCTCTCTCTCTCTCTCTCCATCCCTTTTTCTCTGTCTCTCTCGCTCTCTATCTCCCGCCCCCCCCCGCGCCCTCCCCTCTCCTCCCTCCCTCTCCCGCCCTTCATCCATCCTTCCCTTCTCCCTCCATCTGTCCGCCCATTCGTTTATGGCTGCAACTCCATCTTGTGTGGGTATGCTATGCTGCAAGTGGGACAGGATCTGTGCAAGGCCGCTATTCGAATGAGTAGCCGAGGATCACCAGGGCCAGAAGGAACACCAGGGGCAGGTCAAGTGCCTACACAGGCGGTCAGGAGAAGGTCGCCACGCGGGTCTCAGGAGGATGAGCGGGTTGGCATTGTGTCGGTCAGGATGGGGATACGGCGACAGAGGAAGCAGAAGGAGGAGAGTAACCGGGACAGGCTGAGGCATGCAAGATAAGTTTGGGGGTGTTGAGGAGGTTGTCGAGGGGGGAGACGTGGAGAAGAGTCCTAAAGTAAATGGGAGGAGGATGTAGGTCGGGACCCAATGCCGCGAAGAAGGGGATGGGCAGCGCGGATTGGGAGGGGGCAGAGGAAGCAGAACGAAAAGTCACTGGGATAGGAGGATGTAGGTCGGGACCCAATCCGCGAAGCATGCAAGGTTAGTTTGCCGGCGTTAAGGAGGACGTCGAGGGGGAAGACGTCGTCGAGGAGGGTCGTAAAGTAAATGGGCGGAGGATGTAGGTCGGGGACCCAATCCGCGAAGACGGGGATGGGCAGCGCGGATTGGGAGAGGGGGGGGGCGATCAGGATGTGGGATGGAGAGTAGAAGGTGGCAATGCCGGCCAATCAGGGTGAGGATGTAGGAACAGATGAAGTTTCAGGGGAAAGTACGCCAAGGCCTCAACAGGGTGAGGAATGCAGGTCGTGTAGGGGTGGGGAAGAAGAGATTGCAAGGCAGAAAGAGGGGCTCAGCGAGGATGGAGGGGAACAGGTTAGGAAAGGAGAGAGCAGGATAATGACGAAGGGCCGGAATCACGAGGGGGATAGGGTAAATATGGATAAGCAGGTGATGGAGAGAGAGCAAGGAAGATAGAAAGAGCGACAGACGGAGAAAGAGAGGAAAGGACATACCAGATCCGCCGGGGCCACATCGAGTAATGGAGAAGCAGGAGCTCGAAGAGGGTCCCGATGGACGAGAGAAAGGCGTGGAGAAAGATGGGGAAGAGAGGCGGCAGACGCAGGACGAGGAGAGAAGGGGCTGGGGAAAAGCGGATTGCTGGGGGGAAGATCGAGAGCCTCGCACACATTGAAAGATGGAACCGGACAGGCGGAAGGGAGGCAATGGCGTAGGAATTAAGGGGAAAATGCAAGCGGGCGGAGAAGAATGAGAGTGTGTGTGTGTGTGTGTGTGTGTGTGTGTGTGTGTGTGTGTGTGTGTGTGTGTGCACACACACACA